CGATGCGGGACTCGATCCCGGGACTCCAGGATCATGACCTGAGCCGAAGGCAGTCGCTTAACCAACTGAGCCACCCAGGCGCCCTGCACTTTGTATTTCTTTTTTTTTTTTATTTTAAGATTTTATTTTATTTGAGAGAGAGAGAGCACATGAGAGGGGTGAGGGTCAGAGGGAGATGCAGACTCCCCGCCGAGCAGGGAGCCCGGTGCGGGACTCGATCCCGGGACTCCAGGATCACGACCCGAGCCGAACGCAGTCGCTTAACCAACTGAGCCACCCAGGCGCCCCCAGAAGGAGCAGTTTCTGTATTGAAGCAGGTCCGTGAGTACCGGAGGCCTCACAGTGCGCCTTGCCACAGCCCTTTGTCCTCAGCCTGCCGGGTCACGTTCTTTCATCACCAAGCCACTGTCCTGAGAGAATTTCTTGAAGATAAGTTTCTTGCACCCTTATCTCGCTTGAAGATCTTTGTGTGCATCCAGATGAACCATTCTAAGGAAAACTTTAGAAATGATTAAAAAATTGTATTTTATCTTTTACAGCATCCTTTTTGGGGGGATATAGTTCATGTACAAATATTTCATTACAGTGAGAAGCCTTGTAGTAAAATATAGTTGGTAAGCTGTCCTTCAAATACCATGTTGGAATTGACTTCTGCCCATAAATCCCATCATCCAGAGGCTTTTTTTCTTTCCTTTCTTGTAGGATTTATGGTCGGTAGAGAATATGAAGCTGAAGGAATTGCCAAGGATGGTGCCAAGATGGTGGCTGCTGTGGCCTGTGCTGAAGTGCCTAAGATAACTGTCATCATTGGGGGATCTTACGGGGCTGGAAACTATGGGATGTGTGGCAGAGCATATAGGTAGGTGGTTGTCGTGGTTTCCTCCGAAACAAAGAATTACACTTCAAGCATAATTACAAGTGGGCAGTTCGTTACGGGTTTATTTGAAACACAGAGTGACATTTGCAGATCTTGGTCAGTGATACCATAATTTGTATCATCTGGAGGAGCGAAATAGTGTAAGGCTAAACGTGCTACTTGGAAGAAATCCACAATGGGAATCAGGAAGTATTTTGAAATGGCTGATGATGAAAATACTACATATCATAACTTAAGTGATGCAGCTAAAGTCTTGCTTTGAGGAACGTGTGTAGTAGACGTAAATATATATATATTGGAAAAGAAGTAAGGCCGAAAATCAATGAGCCAGCTCAGGAAGTTCACAGAACAGCATATTAAACACAAGAAAAATAGAAAACAGGACATTATAAAGATAGAAGAATCAGGGAAGGCCAGAGCTGTTTTTGTTTAAAAAAGGTTAACAAATTTGATAATCTCCTAGTAAAACTAAAAAATAAAGCAGAAAGGCTTTATTTTATATCAGGAATGGAAAACAGGACATGACCACAGATAATAAGGGGATATTTTGAATGTTTTTATGCCCAGTAAATTGAGATGAGATGCAAAAATAAAATTGATCAGAACAGACATCACAATCACCTGGAGAACTTAGAAATCCTACTCCATTCAGGCCACACCTCTGGAGATTAGCCTGGGGTGGGTTCCAAGCCTTGTTTTCCCCTTGTAATGCACAGCTAGAACAAAGAACCACTAATTTAGAAGGTAAACGCAGGCCTGTGGAAATTGCTGTGTTGTACAGTGAATTAACTTCATCATTTTTTCTCTTCTCCCCGCACAGCCCAAGATTCCTCTACCTGTGGCCAAACGCTCGCATCTCAGTGATGGGAGGAGAGCAGGCAGCCAATGTGTTGGCCACAGTAGCAAAGGACCAAAGAGCACGTGAAGGGAAACAAGTAAATGCCATTTCTTCTGCCTCTCTGGGTTTGGCTTTTACCACTGAACACTCTGGAGGCAGGGAGCAGCGTGCCCAGAACCTCTCAGTGTTCATGGGTCAGGGTCTCACCCCAGGGCCTGGCTTCATTTAGAAGATGCTGACTTTGAGAAATACCGACTTACATATGCTCTGTCTCCCTTCTTAGAGCCACTTAATTTGAGGTCCCTTCTTGTAATTTTTCCGACTCTCCAAGAAAACTCTTCAGGAACTGTGCCTGTGAGTGCCTGAGGCATAAAGATGTTTGGCTCTTAGTCATTTGCCATTAGTGAGATTTAAAGAAATGTGATTTACTTCTTTGGTTTTATGACTGAAAGCAGCAGAATTTTGTTTTTTCAGTTTCTGCCTTAGATTGTCTTTGAGTGGGAGGGCTCAGTCATCTAACTGAGAAATGAGTAACATTATACTGTGCATGGATAAATGATGGAAAACGGAGAGGTCACTGGCAGCTTGATGAAAGGCAGATCAGCAAGGGGCTGCTTTTAGTTTTGCTGCATGTTAACAGGGGTACTTTAAGGGATTATTATTTAGGTCTCGTCAGCAACATCAAACAAAAGGTACTGAGGACTCCACAGGGTACAGTGTGCTCCCAAGCACCTTAGAAAATTTACATGACTCAGAGAAAATGTGGTTCTTGCCCCTTAAGGAGCTGCCATTCTGGGGGCTGACAACTCACAGTCTAAGGGTTGAGTGAACAACAAGGTAATTTATTAAGGCAGGTTCTTCACTGCAGGTTTTTAAAGTGGATTCTTTTGTTTGTGTCTCAGAGATTCTTAAGTTTTGCATTAATTTTTTTTTTTTGAGAGAGCACACACGTGCATGAGTGGGTGGTGGGGAGCAGCGCAGAGGTGGCGATGGGGCAGAAGGAGAGAGAATCTCAGCAGGTCCGATTCAGGGCTCGATTCTATGACCCTGAGATCATGACCTGAGCCGAAATCAAGAGTGGGAGGCTTAACTGACTGAGCCACCCAGATGCCCCCTCACTAATTTTTGTTAGTTAGAACTTACAGCTATTTTGTGTAAGCACCAAGCCTTCAAATGATTGATGCATTTCTTGGAATTGTTCAAGTGTGCTGTTTCATCATAACAGGGCATAACATGGAGGAGGCCTTGCCTTGAAGGCTCTCATTCCTGCTATTTAGGGGTCATCTGGTCAACTGTCTGGTGATGGGATGGGGATAAGATAAGCATGGAGGGTGGGCCCTAGCTCCCTGAATGCATCCCAAACATGCCCCACATCCTCAGTCGTCTTTTCTAAGCAGCAGGAACTCTGCACACTTAACACTGAGGTTTCATATTCACTTCAGTGCTGATTAGTATCCAAGCAAAATGAAATGTTTATTTGTGTGTGTTTATGTGTGTGTGTGATGGTGGGGGCATAAAGTCCACCTGATACATATTTTTTTAAAGATTTTATTTATTTAGAGAGGGAGAGAGTGGGTGTCAGGGGAGGGGCAGATGGAGAGAATCCTCAAGCAGACTCCACGCTGAACATGGGGCCCCACGTGGAGCTTAATTTCACAACCCTGAGACCAGGACCTGAGTCAAAATCAAGAGTCAGATGCTTAAGCAGCTGAGCCACCCAGGCGCCCCTCTACCTGATATTTTGAAGACATCTTAAACCGTAGCTCAGCAGTCTCTTATTAGATAGTTGTTCTTTGATTAATTTGACTTACAAATCTATGGATTTGTCTCTTTTTATGTATGAAAGGAAAGTACAGGATTTTAGTGGTTCTCCCTCCAAATTCTTGACATAAAATTATATTAAACTATGAAAGTACATAAAAGAAGGTTGGATTTATTTATCATTTATCATTTGTTTTTGGTGTGAAATACTTTTTTTTTTTTTTTTAAAGATTTTATTTATTTATTTGACAGAGAGAGAGACACAGCGAGAGAGGGAACACAAGCAGGGGGAGTGGGAGAGGGAGAGGCAGGCTTCCTGCTAAGCAGGGAGCCCGATGCGGGGCTCGATCCCAGGACCTGGAATCATGACCTGAGCCGAAGGCAGACGCTTAACGACTGAGCCACCCAGGCACCCCGGTGTGAAATACTTTTTAAGTTGAAAATACTTTTCAGGGTTTCAAAATCAGTTTGCATAAAGATTTTTACAACTGAATTATCACTTGTTTCTGGCAATACGGGTGGGCAAGCCACTAAATTTTTAATTAGGGAAAAATATCTCTCAGCTCTTTGAACTTATTCAAGTTGTGGTTGTTTTATCCCTTTAAGCTTTAAAATTTTCTGAATTTGGCTCTTTTGAATGAAAATTCCCTACTTGTCCACTTTTAACAGAAGCTGCTAAATAGGGTTGCCCTCTCACTACATTGTATAATTCACATCCATTGTTGGAGCCTGCTAGAATATGTGATACCCTTGGTTTTGAACTTTACACTAAATAGCTTCAGGATGTTGTCTCTGATAAGGGAGATGTAATGATGCACCAAGGCACTTATGTCTCAGGTGAGATCTTGTGTGTGAAAGCATCACTTGTAATCTCTATATATCACTGTGCAGATGTTGGTTGTAACATCATTATTCATGAAATGCTTGCCCCTTTTTTCTTGAGGTTCTCTTGAGTGGATCTGTTGTTTTATTGCAGTGGACTGACTCATGGTCCTTTTTCTTTCAGTTCTCCAGTGCTGACGAAGCAGCCTTAAAAGAGCCCATCATTAAGAGGTTTGAAGAGGAAGGAGACCCTTACTACTCCAGTGCAAGGTGGGAGCCAAGGAATAACCATCTCCCTGATGGGTGCATCTGGGCTGTCAGGGCGGCAGCTTTACAGAGATCTGGACAGTTGGGTGGTCCAGCCTTCATGGGAACCACAAAGGAACGTTTGGACACACTTAATTTCATATTGTTCTGTCTATAATGGGAATGTCTGCTGAAACACCACCCCCTTCTCCCAGGCTGGGCTGTGCACCCACCACCATTGGTCTGATTCTGCAACCCTCCCCCACTTCTTCCTTATCCCACTTATAGGTGAGGTGTCTGGGCCTACAGAGGCTGAAAAGTTTAAGAGTTAAGAGTTATCCTGGCTGTGTTGTTTTCAGGAATTCGTTCTTTTATAATGTTTTGCTTCAACATGTGGATTCCTTTCCTATCACTCTTTGATTATTTCCTGTTTACCCCATTTTAAACATGAGATTGGCTGGATATTTGTGGGCACTTCTAACAAGCGTGCTTGTGCATTCAGAAGGTGATTGCTCACAGCCAGGGTCTATGTGTCAACACCAAGTAATCACCCCACACGCCATTGCAGCTCTTGGTTCTGTTTGTTTCTTACCCCGCTTAATGAGGTAATAAATTATCATGGCCTGCCCGGGCTGGAGGCTGGCTGGCGTGTGTGCATTAAGATCTCTGTTTTCAGCAACTTTAATGTTCTTCATTCGGAAGAATAATCTAAGCTTCCTATCTTCATCTTATCCCTTGGGCAGATGGAATAAAGAAAATAGCTATTTGTGTCTTTCAAAATTAGGTTATGCTGTGATTTATGTCATTTACTGGTGAAGGTACGCTGGAGAGGAAGGAGAAAAGAAAATAAATTAGAATTCATTCAGTCATCTGAACACAACTTTTGTGGCAGGCGCTGCTCCTAGCACTGGGGGTACAAGGGCTGAATATACTTATTTTCAAGAGCATATTTAATTTCAGGATGAAAATAACACCATTTGGCATCTTTAAAAGGCCCATTTCTTTTCTTGTTAATACATATTTTTGCCAGCAAATTCGCAGGTATATTTTGTTGTTGTGGGTCTTTGATTGATTTAGTTAAGACCAATGTATTTTATAGTCTTTGAGACCTAAACATGTTCTTGTTTACCATCACTTAAACAGACTTCTATAGTAGCCAGTAAAAGCAAAGAGGAAATAGAAAACCCTAAAAAAAAGGCTTAAGAGAAAATAATAAATTGTAAGCTCCCCTACAGTTTTTTGTTTCTCCGTAAGATTTTGAGTGAAATTCACGAGGATGGTTGAAATATTAAACTTTGAAAAATAGTGTATCTTGTGTGAGCCATTAATAAGTTTTTCAGCCCTGGCTAAGTCATCTTTTGAGAAAGACTGAATCCCTTATTATTTTCATGCTTACATTAGTATTATTATTTTAATGGACTGTACTCAAGGCAGGAGAGCAAATGGCCTAGATAGATTTATCTTTGGAAATAAATATTGTAAGACACGAAGGTTTTTCTGTTAATCTGAGGATGCTTAACCCTTCTGTTGAAACACTTGGTGGCAGGGGGATAGCAATTTTCTTTCAAAGATGAAAGGATTTTCAAGCCAATTTACGGTTCCTTCCTCAGGTTTAGTAAATCTCAGCTTAACAGTAACCTTCTGTGGTCTGTTTCAGCTCTACCATGGTTGGACCTGTCTTTTCAGAGAGCTCTTTCATTATCCACTGCTGTAATCTGTGTTTCTCCTAATCCCTCATTTTAGAGGTACAGCCTGCCTGTTTTCTTCTGCTCACTTCTTTTTACAATCAGAACTTTTTCAGGCATTTGATCAGGGCCTCTTACCTGGAATGGTCATTTTCATGACCATCACAAAGGGGCTCTGGCTTTGCCGTGCTCGCTGGATTCTTCTGCTATAGGCTTCAGAAGGGAGTGTAATCAATTGACCTGGTTACGCATGACAAGAGTGGCCTTTTCCTTATTGGCTGTTGATACGTCAGGGTCCCTGTTATGAATGTTTTATGAGCAAAGATTTGATTCATGGCCTGTCGATGTAAGTATGGTTTAATAATTGATGCTATTGTCCAGATACCGAAGGCAGTTTGTTTAAAGAAAGCCAAACTGCCACCTACTAATGACCTTTAAAAAACAGTATTTCTCTTTCGTTTTTCTTTATAAAATTGAGATTGTCAGTGAAAAGCAAACACATTCCTACTTCAAAGTTTCTTTTGTAGGCAGCTTAAAGCAATTACTTATTTTCCTATTGTAGCAAAAAATAAAGAGCTTATATTGAAGTTATTTTATTAACCAAATGTAGTGAAGTCTCTTCAGTAATTGTCATCATTTCTTGAAAGTTTGGGAGTTTGGGGGAATACACCTTTTCTGGTAGAGACTTTGGTTTGAGATTATTACATGGGTTCAGGGCCTGTCTCCATATTAATAACAGGGACACATCAACTTGTACATTTGGATGTGGGCAGAAGAGGAACAGGAAACATTTTCCTGAAATACATAAAAATATGTTAAAATTAAGGATTATTCTGAGGTTTCTAGAAGCAGTTCCCAAAGCCATAAGCTCACTCTGACATCTGTGAGGGCCTGGGATGAAAGTCCTGTCGTTTTTCTTTCTCTCTTTTCCCCTCCTTGAAGGTGGTTTCGGTTGTGAGAATGTAGCGCACAGAAGCTCATCAGTCAATCCCTCTAGGACCTGAGGAAAAACCCCAGCGTTTCTGGACATAAATTGTGTAAATGGTTGTTCGGTGCTGGAATCCTAATAACTTGTGTTTTGTTGTTTTATCAGGCTGTGGGATGATGGGATTATTGATCCAGTGGACACCAGACTGGTGCTGGGTCTCAGTCTTAGTGCGGCCCTCAACGCACCAATCCAGAAGACTGACTTCGGCATCTTGAGGATGTAACTGGAATATAAGGCGTCTTCCATAGGATATGTACCAAAAATTAATGTACTGGTAGCCTTAAAATTTTAGACTTTTCCAACATGTGGCTATTACGGTAAAATTGTTTTCTCAACACACTGCATTGTACTTTTCTACCTTAAAAAAAAATCAGTGAAGATATTTATTTGATGAACTTCAATTCCTTGTCCATTTTCTTAGAGCAATTTTTCTGTGGCTCCACTTTACCACCCATAAAATGAAGAGAATAACTTACAGTTAGCCTTTCTAACCCACGTGAAGTATGAAAAGTTCCATAACATATAAATCCCAGGTATGATTGAGATTATTCACAGAGAGTTGTTTTTCCACCGAAATGATTGCTTTGCTGATTATGCACGATGCTATTTTAACACACATAATTTTTAGAAGCATCTATTACTTTGCCTTTCAGCCACCATCCTACTCCTTCCTGTAACAGTCAGACTTGTTGCTGTCTGCACTCGGGGCTCTGTTTCCTCCCCATTCTCTCTTCAGCCTACACCTCATCGGCTTCCACTGCCAACAGCCCTCTCCAAGGTTGGCCTCCATGTTGCTGAAGCCAGTGGGTTCTTTCCCGATGTTACTGGACTGAATTTTCTGTGGCATTAAGAGCAGTCAAACACTTGTTCCTAGCAGTGCTATCCTTAGCTTTCAGACTGTAACTCTAGGTTTTCCACCAACCTCTTTGGCCCTTCTTGTTCCATCTCCTTTGTCAGGCTCTGTTCCTCTATGCATTTCTCTCCCACTCCCTTCACCATTTGTCCTGATTTTTCATTAGTAAAACATGAATAGATTCTGATTCTGAAAGATACAAAAATAACGTGAAAGTATCTCCTCATTCTTTTTGAAAAATTGTGGTAAAATATATATTACATAAAATGTACCATTTTAACCATTTTTAGCTGCACAGTTCTGTGGCATGAAGTCCATTCACACGGTCTTGCAACCATGGCCACCATCCAGCTCCAGAACTTTTCATCATTCCAAACAATAGCAGCTCCCCATTCCCTCTCCCCCCAGCCCCCGGCCCTCTCCTCATTCTTAAATGTAGGTGTTTCTCATGGTTTGGTTTATTCTCGCTGGGTCATTTCAGGCCTTATGGCTTCGGTGGCCATCTGAATGTGGATGATTCCTGCATCAAGGTTGTTCTCCCTGAGCTCCAGACCTGTGTATCTAACGGGTCTACTGGATGTCTGCACTGATGGTCTTATAGGAACCTCAGATTCAATCATCAAGGTCTATTGATTTTGCCTCCTGTCTTTTGGATTCCCCATTATTTCCATCTTTCACCACCACGGGCTTTAGAAGTGGTCTATCTGCATCCAGTCTTAGCTAGTACTGCTTCCCCATCACTGTGAGATGAAGATGGCCATTCTAAGTGTGCATCTGGTCATGCTGTTCCTTTGCTCCAATGTCTCACTGGTTTCCTGTCGAAGTGCCAGACCCGTCATGCTCTCCAGGACTGTAATCATCACATCCCCTCTTCTGCCTCATCTCCTTGACTCTTCCTCACGCTCGGTGCTCTAGCTGTTACAGATTTCTTGTTCCTTGAACCTGTAGAGTCCTTCCCACCTTAGGGTCCACCACCCAAGGTTCCCTCTGCCTGTACCATCCTACCTTCCCTTAAACACTTACCTTTTTGTCTCTGTGGCTTCCCTGGTTTGGGTTAGACGCTGTGCTCTCATAAAGCCGCAGCCACTTTCTTCTCTGTCTTATATATTTATGAGAAACCTAAACATTTCTTTAATACTGCCCTCCTGCTAGAATGTAAGCTCTCTGAGAGCAAGGATGTCCTGTTTAGCCTGCAGCTGCAGGCCCTAGCACTTGTAGGTGCTTACGTATTTGTTGAGTGAATGAGAAATCCATATTTTAATTGATGTCTTCAGACCACATTACAATTAAGTGACTGATTATGTGATCTAATACAACTATCCAGTGCTTTCCTCATAAAATTAATACTTCAAACTTTGTGTGTCATGTTCAATTTACACAGCATTTGGGGCACCTGGGTGGCTCAGTTGTTAAGCGTCTGCCTTCGGCTCGGGTCATGATCCCGGGGTCCTGGGATCGAGCCCCACGTCGGGCTCCCTGCTCGGCCGGGAAGCCTGCTTCTCCCTCTCCCACTCCCCCTGCTTGTATTCCCTCTCTCACTGTGTCTCTGTCAAATAAGTATATAAAACCTTAAAAAAAAATTTTAGGCAGCATTTGTGTATCAGAAATCAGTTTAATTTTTTGAGATGTGTACAGATAAATGCTCACAGTTCAGAGGTGGGCTGCATTTTCAGAAGGATGTGGGACAAGGTCACTGAGAGGACATCCCCTCCCCTTTCCTTGGAAAGTTCCCCCACCCACTGTTCCTGTAGGGGGAGCCATTTCAAGAACATAGCCTTGAGAGAGGAAGGTGTTGTTGAGACCATCTGAACCCAGTTAAGGCTTCTTTATAAATAAGATTCTGGCCCGTGGGTGTGGAGATGATCTCGTGTTGTGGATTGATGCAGGCCACGCTCAGAAGTGCATTCCCTCGCATACCAACGCGGAGTGGCCTTCTCTCTCCCATCTCTCCCTTGGCCTCCCTGTTCTGGGGCCAGTTTTCGAACCAACAAAGGGGACACGGTAAGCATTTTAAAATAGTAAATTATATTAAAGTTTCAGTTAAAATTTACATCCATGTCAGAAAACAAAAATTTTTTAAAAAATCAAGTGTAGGTAATACTGCTTTGCTATGAATCCTCAACAAATCAAAGATTGATGAATTTTTTAGGACTTTTTCTCTCTCTAAAGAAATTGTTCTCTCTAAAAAGATCACCATCATCACGAGAACCACACTTAAAATAGTTAAATTATGTTACATAGTTAAGCCAATACAAAAAAATTGTTTTATCAAAACAGGCAGCATTTTTCGTCTGCCCCCTCCTAACTTTACTGAGACATAATTGACATTTCACATGGAAGTTGAAGGTGTACAGTGTGATTTGATACACTTATATTGTGAAATGTTTACCACAATGTGGTTACTTAACACATTCACCTCACAGAACTTTTTGTTTGGTAGGGAGAATATTTTTTTTTCTACATCTCAGTTCTTATAAATGAGAATTGCAGCCAGGATAATAGGAGTAACTTAGAATCTTAAGTATGCAGCACATTAATCTAAATTAGCCACTCTGGGTACTTCGAGAATAAAAGAGACAAAATTAATTGTATTTTTCAGTTTTCAGGAAAAAAATTTCAATTAAGAATTTGTTGAAATATTTTTTTACACTACCAGAAGGCGTTGCTGAATGTTGTTGAATGTGCAAGTAAAATTATCATTTGCCAGATGTGCATGTTCATGCATAAGGCACAACTAGAGAGGCTGGTATGACCTTTACAAGGGTAGGTAACGGCAGCTTATTCCATGATTTAATAAGACTTTTCTGGGGAGAGGCCACATAGTCCTTGTTGGTTCTGAAATGTGTTCATTGGTGTCCTGGAATGATGATTGATTATTCTGGCCAAAGCCAATTTCTTACAAATCTTAATTACTGGTTCTGAAATTCAGTATTTAGAAAAACTGCAAGAGAATGAACTAGATAATCATGGTCTCTGGTTATTTATGACATTTCTTTGCAAATGTTAGAAATTACAATTAGTATCTAATAATGCCACGTTTTTATTGTTTTAACAAAAGGTCATACCACCAAACACTTAAAAATATATTTTTTTAAAAATTTAATGTGCCTCAAATTCTCTTGTTATATAGAATCAGAATGCTAAGGATAAAGTTGCTCTTGGAGCTAAATGAAATTTCTATCTACTGACCTTTCTAGGCAAATGTACATTCCAGGTGAGGTTTGTAATCAAGCTAATTGATGATCCACTCTGGGATACTTGGGAGGGAACAGGCCCTGCTGTGAATTACACTGGAGAACAGGTGTGAGCAGATTGGGACCTCTGCTCTCTCTCTAGTTGATTATCACTGAGGACCGATGGATGTCAGGTTTTGATACCTCTTAAAAGCCACTCTTCCAGATACCTGCTTTGTAACATTTTCGTGGCTTAAAAACAACAACAACAAAAACAAACAAACAAACAAAAACAATACAAGTTTATTCTGTTCTAGTTGTGGAGGCCAGAAGTCTAGAATCAAGATATTGGCAGGGCTGTGTTCACTCTGGAGACTGAAGGGAAAATCCGTTCCCTTGTCTTTTTCAGCTTCTAGAGGTCGCCTGCCTGCTTTGTAACTTTGATTGTGGATTTCAGCATTATATCAAACACATGATATGTGTTAGCATTCTAGAGAGCCATTTAATCGGCTCAGGAGGAGAGTTTACCACAAGGCAGGGGTAATTTTATTTTCTGTAGCACCCAGCATGTCAGTGTGTCTTGCTGCTTTTCCTTTTACAACGGTGACCCAAATCACAGGTTTATGCTACTCCTTAGGTTAAGAGAGAGAAGGGTTGGGGCGCCTGGGTGGCTGAGATGATTAAGCCTCCGACTCTTGATTTCATCGCAGGTCATGATCTCAGGGTCTTCAAATCGAGGCCTGCACGGAGCCTGCTTAAGATTCTCTCTCTCTCTCAATAAATAAATAAATGATAAGTAATAGACAAAATCTTAAAAAAAATTGTCTGAGGGAGAACAAAGTCTTAGAAGGTTGTGATAGAGAACTGACTGAAGAGAGAACATGACGAGAACTTGTTAGAAGTAAGGTGCAGAAATCAAAAATTTAATGTGTAATTCAGCAAGTGTTAATTATAAGTGAAAAGTTACAGTTTTGGAATGCTAGGGCTACTTTCAAGAGGTTTCTGTAGGAAATGTACATTTTTCAATAGCTTTATCGTACTCCTATGTTGTAAGATAATTATAAATGACATTTGTTTTAAAATTATAATTTAAAGGGCGTCTGGGTGGCTCAGTTGGTTAAGCGACTGCCTTCGGCTCAGGTCATGATCCTGGAGTCCCGGGATCGAGTCCCGCATCGGGCTCCCTGCTCGGCAGGGAGTCTGCTTCTCCCTCTGACCCTCCCCACTCTCATGTGCTCTCTCATTCTCTCTCTCAAATAAATAAATAAATAATCTTTAAAAAAAAAAAAAAAATTATAATTTAAAATCCAACAGTGTTTTTTTTTTTTTAAAAAACTTGGAGAATTTTCACTTTCTTAACTCTCTCCATAATTTCACCACCCAGAGATAGCTGCTACTATTACTAATTTCATATATCGATTGTATTATTCTTTTTTCTATCTGTGGGGTTTGTTTTCCACAAAAAAAGTTACTCTGTTACCTTCATTTTCACTTAATGTCGTGTAAATGTCTTGGCATGTTTCCATGTCATGTGCTACTGTATTTACAATTGTGATGTTGCACAATACTACATTGTATGGCCATCCTATTTGATTTAACCACTCCCCTGCTTTTGGATATTTAGGTTGTCTCTGGCTTCTCACTATTACAGATAATGCTGCAGTAAATATCTTGTAGTGTCTTTACATAACTGTGATTATTAGTATAAATTCCTAGAAGTGAGATTGTTGGATCAAAGTGTATGTGGGCTTTTAAGACCTATTGCTAAATTCTGTTCTATAAACATATGTTTATGATACAAGTATTGCTGCATTTGTAATGCTGACTCTGGTGCTTTCAGATCCTGCAGTAACTTCCAGTAGAATTTAATTGTTTAGGAAACTGGTGTTCTTGTTAATTTTTAAAAGTTGTGTCTAGGGGTGCCTGGGTGGCTCAGTCGTTAAGCGTCTGCCTTCGGCTCAGGTCGTGACCCCAGGGTCCTGGGATAAAGCCCT